GTTGGGGAGCTCCAGTTCCCAGGATCACCCAGGCTCTTTGTTTCTGTACCTAGTTGCCTTCTCCAACCCATCTACCCATATCCAAGCCTGCCCATATCCAAGCCTGCCCAGACCCAAGCCAACAGTTCAGGCACCTTTCACCATGTTTTGTCGCAAAATCAGCCTGCCTGTCACCTCCTGTTAAGGGTGGGCACTTCCCTGTGTTAGCAACTCACCGAGGTTTGCTCCCCAAATTTCGCTCACCTGATTTCACTCTAGTCTTCGCAGCCCAGGGCTCCCTCTTTGTCCTTCTCAGGTTGCTGATCCCAGTCGTTCGCATTCATTTTGCTGCTGTGTGCCACCTTTCTCAGTCCTGGCAGCACTGGGGGATTTCCCACAGTGTTCCTGTGGTTCTTTTCCTCCAGGGCTCACTTCAGACTGCTCCTGTCCCTAACTTTTAGGACCCTCGGTTACATCGGTCTAACTCCATTGGCCATCTTCACTCCTCCTCCAGATCAGTTGTTTCCAATGGTAGCTGATAATGACCTAGGAACCGAACTTCTTTCTAGATGTGGAGTTCTTAGTGCATTGAATGAAAATCTACATCCTTGTTTTGTGTGGTGTGCTCTACATGCTTGATTTCATTATAATTGGCTCTATTTAAATTTTCCCACAAGAGAAAAACAGGGAGTCCAGGAGAGCTGCTTGTAAGCCTGATGTTGTCTGAAGTTAATGACCCAAAGGGAGCAATTTTACCTCTGGAACACCTGTGCTGATCCTTTGGGACTATGCCATTCACTAGCACTCTGAGATCCCTAGGTGTCACATGCACATTCAAAAGGATGTGGTGCCAGAGCAGTTGTTTGCAATGGCAGATGGAAATCATTGTGGTAGAACTTCTCTGTGGATGTGGAGTTCTTAGTGCCTTTTGGAACACCTGTGAAGCTGCTTTGGAATATGTCATTCACCAATATACTAAGTTCTCTAGGTCTCACATGATCATTTAGCACTATGTCATGCCAGAACTGTAGTTTCCAATGGAAGTTGAAAATAGTTTGATTGCTGGACTTCTCTCTGCATGTAGAGTCCCTAGTGCTTTCTGTGGGATGCTCAATATGCTTGATTTCATTATACTGACTCTGTGGGCATTGGATGAGAAATTAGAAAGCAAGGTGTCTGGTAGTGCTGCTTGGACACCTTAAGATATGTGAAGTTAATGCCCCAAAGTGAGTTTTTTTGCCTCTAGAGCACTTGTGCTTCTCCTTTGGGATTATGTCATTCACCCACACACTGTGTTCCCAAGTTTCACATGCACATTCAGCAGTATGTGCTGCCAGTACAGCTGTTTTTAATGGTAGCTGAAAATCGCGAAAGCACTGGGCTTCTCTCGGGATGTGGATTTCTTAGCCCATTGATTGAGAATCTACAGCTTTGTTTTGTATACTGCGCTCAGAGTCCTTGATTTAATTATATCTGGTTCTATGGGTATGAAATGAGAAATCACAAAATATGGTTTTTGGGAGAGCTGGTTGTAAGCTGATGGTATGTGAAGTTAATGAAACAAATGTTGTAGTTTTCCACTGGCACACCTGTGCTGCTCCTCTGGGACAATGTCATTCACCAACACACTGAGTCCCCAAGGTGTCACATGCACATTCAGGGGTATTTGGTGCCAAAGCAGTTGGTTTGATTGTAACTAGAATGGCTTTGGCGCCGAACTTCTCTCTGGATATGGAGTTCCTACCACAACGAGTGAGAATCCACATGCTTGTTTTCAGCTGGATGGTCAACATTCTTGATTTCATTAAACTGGGCTCTATGTGCATGATTTAAGAAGTGACAAAACAAGACTTCCAGGAGAGCTGCTTGTAAGCCTGATGGTATGTGAAGTGAATGAGCCAAGTGGAGTCGTTTTGGCCCTGGAAGACCTGTGCTGCTCCTTCGGGACTATGCCATTCACTCACACACAAATTTGCCTAGGCATCACGTGCACATACCATATTACGTGGTGCCAGGCAGTTGTTTTCAATGGTTAGTGATAATGGCTTTGGCACTGAACTCCTTTTTTCTTTGTGGAATTGCCATCACATTGAGTGAGAATCTACATCTTTGTGTTTTGGTGAATGCTCAACATGCTTAATTTCATTAGAATTGGTTCAATAGGCATGAGAAGTGAAGTGAAAAAGTGAGTTTCAGGAGAGCTGATTGTGAGTTTGCTGTTAGGTGAAGTTAATGACCTAAATGGAGTAGTTCTTGCACTGGAAGACCTGTGCTGCTCTTTTGGGACAATGCCATTCACCAGCACACTGAGTTCCCTAGGTGTCACATGCACATTCAGCAGTGTGTGGTACCAGAGCAGTTATTTTCAATCTCACCTGGAAATCACTGTTGTGCTGAACTTCCCTCTTGTTGTGGAGTTCTTAGCTCATTGATTGAGAATTGAGAATCTACATCCCCCCCCTTTTTTTTTTGGTGGATGTTCAAAATGCTTGATTTCATTATACTTATCTCTATGGGCATTTGTGAGAAGTGACAAAAAATGGTTTCTGTTTAAGCTGCTAGTAAGCCTGACGGTATTGATGTAATGACCCAAGTGGAGTCGTTTTTTGGCTGGAACTCCTGTGTTGATCCTTTGGGACGATGCCATTCACCAACATACTGAATTCCCTAGGTGTCACCTACACATTCAGAAGTGTGTGGTACCAGAGCAGTTGTTTTCAATGTTAGCTGAAAACTGCTTGGGCACTCAACGTCTCTCTGGATGTGGAGTTCTTAGCATGTTGAGTGAATATCTACATCCTTATTTTGGGTGGGGTGCTCAACATTATTCCTTTCAATACAGTGCCTTCTATGCTCATTAGAAGTAAAGGGACAAAACAAAATTTCCTTGAGATTTGCTTGAAATCATGATGGTTTGTGATGTTATTGAACCAGATGCTGTAGCTTTGGCAATGGAAGATCTGTGCTGCTGCTTCAGGGCTATGCCATTCACCTTTTAGCACACTGAGTGAAAATCTACAACCTTGTTTTGTGTGGGGTAATTGACATGATTCCTTTCAATCCTGTTCACCCTATGGATATTAGATGAGCCCTGACAAAACATGATTTCCGGGACAGCTGCTAGTAAGTGTGATGGTATTTGAAGGTACTGACCCAAGGGGAACAATTTTGCCATGTTTAGCACGTTGAGTGAGAATCATCTTAGTTTTGCATGGGGTGCATAACATGGTTCATTTCTTTATATTGGGCTCTGTATTCATAAGACATGTAGTATCAAAACAGGAATTTCAGGAGATCTGCTTCTAAGCCTAATGGTATGTGAAGTTAATGAACCAAATGGAGTATTTTGCCCATAGTTTGCATGCATGCTGATTGTCTCAAGCATCCCCCAAATCCTCAGTGCCTGAGTGAGGAGGCACGTGGAGAAGGCCCAGGACCCATGAGCCTGGTCATTGTGGCTGGATGTGAGTGAATGTGGAGGAAAACAGATGTCAGACCAAGCAGGGTGGGTAAGAGTTTGACACACCAGCCCGGGTTAATGCCACCATAAAGGGGCTAAGGAGGAGCTCCATAGTATGAAGCCCGTGTCCGCCTCAGGCTCCAGGTGGCCATGGGGCCCTACTCTGTGCCCTACTGGGGCTCACCTCGTTGGATCCACTGAATCAGCAGGTGCAGGAGGGAGAATAAAGGAAGAGAGATGGAAAGGAAATCCTGCCAGTATCTGCCAGGATGCCCCACGTTCCCATCACCAAATGTTCCCTGGTACAAGTCCTAGATTCTTTTTCATTTATGATGCATTTACTCCTAAGAAAAGTAGGACACAGGTTAAAATCCCCTCACGCTGAACACCCACTCAATAGGATTTGAGGCCACACCCTCTGTCTTGCATGGCCGGCTTCCCACACAGGTGCCCGCTCATGTTCGGGATGATCCTCTTTCATTCCAGCTCCCCGCTTGTGGCCTGGGAAGGCACTCAAGCACGGCCCAAAGCCTCGGCTCCCTGAAGCCAACGAGGACACTCAGAGGAAGCTACTGGCTGGACCTTCAGTGCCTGCCTCTCAGCTTCAGCTTGTGATGGGATTGGGTGAGAGGACCAGGGTGCCTGGGACACTCAATGTCTCCATTCCTCTCTCTCTCTCTCTCTCTGCCCTTTCTCACTTTTCTGACTCTCTTTCTATCTCTCCGGCTAATGGTGAATCCATCCATCCATCCATGCATCCATCCATGCATCCATCCACCTATCAAACCATGGATCAATCGCTCCATCAGTGATCACAGTGAAATACTAACCAGCACTCTTAGAAAACAAATCTTTGTTTCATTTTTAAATATGAATTTATTGATTCCTTGGCGGATCGAGGAAGCCCCAAATCCCCGCCCCGACTGATTTCCCCTCATCCCACTCACAACTTGTCCTCTTGGGTTTCCCAAGGCCTATGTGCACGGGGAGCCCTTGTCTCCAAAGACAAGACCTGGCTGAGTATTCCCCGTATATTCTCAGCCCCATCTGGCTTTCAGTGATGGAGCCATGGGGCTAGCTGCCTGTATGCTCCACAACGCATTTGCCATGCCCTTTCCAGATCAAGTAGGTCCAGCCAATGTTGCGAGTGTGCGTGTGTGAGTGTTTGATGCACTGATCAATCAGCAAACACATGAACCAAGAAAGCAAGTGTCTCTCCCTGTTGATGCATGCACGAAAAGTATGTCCGTTATTGAGAGATGAGACCAGCACCCACAATCTCCCTGCAGGTGCTGACCCACCCCCGCGGATGGACACTCCCCTCCCACCAAGCAAAGCGCGGGAAAGACCCCTGCCACTAGGGAAATGACTAGAATCGCAGGAGCGGCCTCTTTGCCTGTTTGTTCTTCCTCTTGGGAGCTCTGGCTCTGCCTCTGCTTGCCAGACCGGGGAGCTGGCTGGCATTCTCGGGCAGCTGATGTGTTGGCTGGCCAGCTGAGCTGCACTGCCAGGAGCGTTCGTGTGGCGCAGGATGGCTGGTCGGCTGCACGCTGGGTCGTGCCTGATGAATGAGGACTGCCTTGCTCGGCAGGCTGGGCTCCACTCTCCTGAGGTTGAAGGAGCCCTTGGGCCGCTGCTGCTCTTGCAGGGATTTCCACTCATCTAAGCCGAGTTCCTGCATCCTCTGCTCCAAGTGCTGCCGGCCTTGTTCGGCTTCCGGGTCGGAAGGCTTTGCAGGCTCTGCTGGGGTCCTGGCGTCGTGTCTCTCTCGAGGCCCAGAGGCGGGCGCTCCCTGGCCCCGTGACACTTGCCCATTGGCCCCGTCCCATCCACCCTTGCGCACGTAAAAGAGCACGTAGGCACTTTGCTTCAAGGCCGAAGCCAGGCCACGGGCGGTGACCTTCGCGTCATCCATCTCATACCAGCGGCCGTCGCCAGCTTTGACGTAGCACAGGTAATGTCCTCGGTCACGACGCAAGCCCACGTGCACAAGGACAGCATAGAGCCTGTACTCCAGTGGCCCCCCGTTCTGCCGAGACAGGTAAGGCCTCATGTCCAAACGGTCAGGATAGTGCACCGGCTTGGCCATTTTGTCACGCGTGAAGTCAGAAAAGCGTTTCAAGACCAAGACGAGCACATCCCCACACGTGTGCAAGGTGAGTGTGCGGGAGGCAGGCGTCTTCCTGAGGCACGCAGCACAATCATAGGCGTTGTCCCCGTCCAGCTCTTCCGGGCTCACCAAATGCCGCAAGGCTTCCTGCACATTCTTGGCGGCCTGGATATCCAGCACGATGTCCAGGTAAGGGTCCCATGTGTCTGAAGTGCCTTGGCACTGGAGACATGTGACTCGAGACCTCCAGTGGCCTCCAGCTAGCTGATGGCTTAGAGGCTGGTCCTCAGAGGGCGCCAGCTGGCAGTTGAGGCCAGGCAGGCCTGCTGCCCTGAGGGCATCAAACATCAGAAACTCGTGAGCATCTTCTTGGCGGTTTCTGTGAAAGCCAATGCCTGACAGGGCTGGATCACGTGGCCGGGACTGTGCAGAGCCCAAGTGAAGTGACTTTCCAGAGCACAGAGCGTGCAGAGCTCTGAACGGCGCTGGCAGGTGCGGGAGTGCTCCTGAGACAGCAGATAATTGGCGAGTGGCGGGGTGTACGTCAGACACTGGAGGGCTGCATTCATGTAGCAGGCGTTCCCCGGGTTCTGCAGACCAGCCCCGATGCCGTAAGGTTCCATCCAGCACAGAGAAGCTTCCCCTCTGGCAGCCAGCTCTGTGTTCTCTGCAGCCACACCCTCGTCCAGCTGGGGCTCTTTCTGAGGCCGGGCTGACCACTTCCCTGGCACATACAAAGCCCCGCCTGGATAATGAGACTTACCCCCGAGTGCAGTGAAGCAGCCTTGGGCACTACTCCAGGGGCCATGGTCCCGAGACTTGTGCGCTGGCGTTCCACTCTCGCCTTCCCTCTCTGCAATCTTGCTCAGATCACGGACGCTCTCCCTCCACTCACCACCCTTATATAGCCAACTCGACCCGCGACCCCGCCCCCCAGCGGCCAGCTCCACCAATCAGCTTCCAGTGCGCAAGAGGTCAGAGGCCTGAGGGCGGGACAGCCTCCTCACTCAGGACTTCTCACATCACCTGCTCTTCTCCATAGCGCTGGGAGAGGATGGACTTACCACCATCACCTTGCTCTCTGTCCACATGGCAACCAGCGGGGGATGATGGCCTGGTTGATGCCAGAGATTTCACAAACAACAACAACCAAGAGTGATAGAACGCTAGGATGCCATAAAGCTTTGGTGAAAGTATCACCTCATGTCAGAGAGTGTGTGTGTGTGTGTGTCTCTGTGTGAGTGTGTGTGTGTGTGTGTGTGTGTGTGAGTGTGTGTAAGAGAGAGAGAGTTTGGAGACATGTATATTCGGTGGGAGATTGGTTCCGTTGCAATCCCACCAGCACAGGTTAAAATCCCCTCACGCTGGAAACCCACTCAATAGGATTTGAGGCCACACCCTCTGTCTTGCATGGCCGGCTTCCCACACAGGTGCCCGCTCATGTTCGGGATGATCCTCTTTCATTCCAGCTCCCCGCTTGTGGCCTGGGAAGGCACTCAAGCACGGCCCAAAGCCTCGGCTCCCTGAAGCCAACGAGGACACTCAGAGGAAGCTACTGGCTGGACCTTCAGTGCCTGCCTCTCAGCTTCAGCTTGTGATGGGATTGGGTGAGAGGACCAGGGTGCCTGGGACACTCAATGTCTCCATTCCTCCCTGTCTCGGTCTCTCTGTCTCTCTCTCTCTCTCTCTCTGCCCTTTCTCACTTTTCTGACTCTCTTTCTATCTCTCCGGCTAATGGTGAATACATCCATCCATCCATGCATCCATCCATGCATCCATCCACCTATCAAACCATCGATCAATCGCTCCATCAGTGATCACAGTGAAATACTAACCAGCACTCTTAGAAAACAAATCTTTGTTTCATTTTTAAATATGAATTTATTGATTCCTTGGCGGATCGAGGAAGCCCCAAATCCCCGCCCCGACTGATTTCCCCTCATCCCACTCACAACTTGTCCTCTTGGGTTTCCCAAGGCCTATGTGCACGGGGAGCCCTTGTCTCCAAAGACAAGACCTGGCTGAGTATTCCCCGTATATTCTCAGCCCCATCTGGCTTTCAGTGATGGAGCCATGGGGCTAGCTGCCTGTATGCTCCACAACGCATTTGCCATGCCCTTTCCAGATCAAGTAGGTCCAGCCAATGTTGCGAGTGTGCGTGTGTGAGTGTTTGATGCACTGATCAATCAGCAAACACATGAACCAAGAAAGCAAGTGTCTCTCCCTGTTGATGCATGCACGAAAAGTATGTCCGTTATTGAGAGCTGAGACCAGCACCCACAATCTCCCTGCAGGTGCTGACCCACCCCCGCGGATGGACACTCCCCTCCCACCAAGCAAAGCACGGGAAAGACCCCTGCCACTAGGGAAATGACTAGAATCGCAGGAGCGGCCTCTTTGCCTGTTTGTTCTTCCTCTTGGGAGCTCTGGCTCTGCCTCTGCTTGCCAGACCGGGGAGCTGGCTGGCATTCTCGGGCAGCTGATGTGTTGGCTGGCCAGCTGAGCTGCACTGCCAGGAGCGTCTGTGTGGCGCAGGATGGCTGGTCGGCTGCACGCTGGGTCGTGCCTGATGAATGAGGACTGCCTTGCTCGGCAGGCTGGGCTCCACTCTCCTGAGGTTGAAGGAGCCCTTGGGCCGCTGCTGCTCTTGCAGGGATTTCCACTCATCTAAGCTGAGTTCCTGCATCCTCTGCTCCAAGTGCTGCCGGCCTTGTTCGGCTTCCGGGTCGGAAGGCTTTGCAGGCTCTGCTGGGGTCCTGGCGTCGTGTCTCTCTCGAGGCCCAGAGGCGGGCGCTCCCTGGCCCCGTGACACTTGCCCATTGGCCCCGTCCCATCCACCCTTGCGCACGTAAAAGAGCACGTAGGCACTTTGCTTCAAGGCCGAAGCCAGGCCACAGGCGGTGACCTTGGCGTCATCCATCTCATACCAGCGGCCGTCGCCAGCTTTGACGTAGCACAGGTAATGTCCTCGGTCACGACGCAAGCCCACGTGCACAAGGACAGCATAGAGCCTGTACTCCAGTGGCCCCCCGTTCTGCCGAGACAGGTAAGGCCTCATGTCCAAACGGTCAGGATAGTGCACCGGCTTGGCCATTTTGTCACGCGTGAAGTCAGAAAAGCGTTTCAAGACCAAGACGAGCACATCCCCACACGTGTGCAAGGTGAGTGTGCGGGAGGCAGGCGTCTTCCTGAGGCAGGCAGCACAATCATAGGCGTTGTCCCCGTCCAGCTCTTCCGGGCTCACCAAATGCCGCAAGGCTTCCTGCACATTCTTGGCGGCCTGGATATCCAGCACGATGTCCAGGTAAGGGTCCCATGTGTCTGAAGTGCCTTGGCACTGGAGACATGTGACTCGAGACCTCCAGTGGCCTCCAGCTAGCTGATGGCTTAGAGGCTGGTCCTCAGAGGGCGCCAGCTGGCAGTTGAGGCCAGGCAGGCCTGCTGCCCTGAGGGCATCCAGCGCGAACATCAGAAACTCGTGAGCATCTTCTTGGCGGTTTCTGTGAAAGCCAGCAGCCAATGCCTGACAGGGCTGGATCACGTGGCCGGGACTGTGCAGAGCCCAAATGAAGTGACTTTCCAGAGCACAGAGCGTGCAGAGCTCTGAACGGCGCTGGCAGGTGCGGGAGTGCTCCTGAGACAGCAGATAATTGGCGAGTGGCGGGGTGTACGTCAGACACTGGAGGGCTGCATTCATGTAGCAGGCGTTCCCCGGGTTCTGCAGACCAGCCCCGATGCCGTAAGGTTCCATCCAGCACAGAGAAGCTTCCCCTCTGGCAGCCAGCTCTGTGTTCTCTGCAGCCACACCCTCGTCCAGCTGGGGCTCTTTCTGAGGCCGGGCTGACCACTTCCCTGGCACATACAAAGCCCCGCCTGGATAATGAGACTTACCCCCCGAGTGCAGTGAAGCAGCCTTGGGCACTACTCCAGGGGCCATGGTCCCGAGACTTGTGCGCTGGCGTTCCACTCTCGCCTTCCCTCTCTGCAATCTTGCTCAGATCACGGACGCTCTCCCTCCACTCACCACCCTTATATAGCCAACTCGACCCGCGACCCCGCCCCCCAGCGGCCAGCTCCACCAATCAGCTTCCAGTGCGCAAGAGGTCAGAGGCCTGAGGGCGGGACAGCCTCCTCACTCAGGACTTCTCACATCACCTGCTCTTCTCCATAGCGCTGGGAGAGGATGGACTTACCACCATCACCTTGCTCTCTGTCCACATGGCAACCAGCGGGGGATGATGGCCTGGTTGATGCCAGAGATTTCACAAACAACAACAACCAAGAGTGATAGAACGCTAGGATGCCATAAAGCTTTGGTGAAAGCATCACCTCATGTCAGAGAGTGTGTGTGTGTGTGTGTGTGTGTGTGTGTGTGTGTGTGTGTGTGTGTGAGAGAGAGAGAGAGAGAGAGAGAGTTTGGAGACATGTATATTCGGTGGGAGATTGGTTCCATTGCAATCCCACCAGCACAGGTTAAAATCCCCTCACGCTGGAAACACACTCAATAGGATTTGAGGCCACACCCTCTGTCTTGCATGGCCGGCTTCCCACACAGGTGCCCGCTCATGTTCGGGATGATCCTCTTTCATTCCAGCTCCCCGCTTGTGGCCTGGGAAGGCACTCAAGCACGGCCCAAAGCCTCGGCTCCCTGAAGCCAACGAGGACACTCAGAGGAAGCTACTGGCTGGACCTTCAGTGCCTGCCTCTCAGCTTCAGCTTGTGATGGGATTGGGTGAGAGGACCAGGGTGCCTGGGACACTCAATGTCTCCATTCCTCCCTGTCTCGGTCTCTCTGTCTCTCTCTCTCTCTCTGCCCTTTCTCACTTTTCTGACTCTCTTTCTATCTCTCCGGCTAATGGTGAATACATCCATCCATCCATGCATCCATCCACCTATCAAACCATGGATCAATCGCTCCATCAGTGATCACAGTGAAATACTAACCAGCACTCTTAGAAAACAAATCTTTGTTTCATTTTTAAATATGAATTTATTGATTCCTTGGCGGATCGAGGAAGCCCCAAATCCCCGCCCCGACTGATTTCCCCTCATCCCACTCACAACTTGTCCTCTTGGGTTTCCCAAGGCCTATGTGCACGGGGAGCCCTTGTCTCCAAAGACAAGACCTGGCTGAGTATTCCCCGTATATTCTCAGCCCCATCTGGCTTTCAGTGATGGAGCCATGGGGCTAGCTGCCTGTATGCTCCACAACGCATTTGCCATGCCCTTTCCAGATCAAGTAGGGCCAGCCAATGTTGCGAGTGTGCGTGTGTGAGTGTTTGATGCACTGATCAATCAGCAAACACATGAACCAAGAAAGCAAGTGTCTCTCCCTGTTGATGCATGCACGAAAAGTATGTCCGTTATTGAGAGATGAGACCAGCACCCACAATCTCCCTGCAGGTGCTGACCCACCCCCGCGGATGGACACCCCCCTCCCACCAAGCAAAGCGTGGGAAAGACCCCTGCCACTAGGGAAATGACTAGAATCGCAGGAGCGGCCTCTTTGCCTGTTTGTTCTTCCTCTTGGGAGCTCTGGCTCTGCCTCTGCTTGCCAGACCGGGGAGCTGGCTGGCATTCTCGGGCAGCTGATGTGTTGGCTGGCCAGCTGAGCTGCACTGCCAGGAGCGTTCGTGTGGCGCAGGATGGCTGGTCGGCTGCACGCTGGGTCGTGCCTGATGAATGAGGACTGCCTTGCTCGGCAGGCTGGGCTCCACTCTCCTGAGGTTGAAGGAGCCCTTGGGCCGCTGCTGCTCTTGCAGGGATTTCCACTCATCTAAGCTGAGTTCCTGCATCCTCTGCTCCAAGTGCTGCCGGCCTTGTTCGGCTTCCGGGTCGGAAGGCTTTGCAGGCTCTGCTGGGGTCCTGGCGTCGTGTCTCTCTCGAGGCCCAGAGGCGGGCGCTCCCTTTATTCACCTTGTCCCAGCAATCATTTTTAAATCAATATGTGAAACAACTGTGCAAAACCACTTTGCAAAAGCATGAAATAACTTCATTTGTATAAGCATGATATAAATCCACTTTTTAAAAGCACCATATAAATCCACCTTGTAAAAACAGTGATTTCTAAAACCACTTTTTATAAAATTTCTAAATCATTTTGCATATACACAATATAAATTCAATTGGTTAACCATAACTTAAATAACTTTGTAAGCATGATACAATTCCAATTTGTACAAGCATGATATATACCCACTGTGTATAAGCAGAATAATAATTTACTTTTAACATCCAGTGTTTAAAACCATTTTGTAAAACAATTGTGCAAAACATCTTTGGATAAGCCTGATAAAAACCCACTTTATATAAGCATTATTTAAACCCACTGTGTAACAGTAAATTTTCGTAAAAGTAATTTTTTTAAAACAACTGTGTAAAAGCACTTTACAATGCATGATTTTAATCCAATTTGTATAAGGACAATACAAATCAACTTTGTATAAACACAATATAAATCCACTTTGTACTAGCAGGATATGTATCCTCTTGTGAAATCAATTATTCCCAAAACAAATTTTTTAAACAACTGTGGAAAGCACTTTGCAAAAGCACAATTTTAATCCAATTTGTATATGCACGAAATAAAACCAGCTTGTATAGCACGATATAAATCCACGTTGTATCACCAATTATTTCGAAAACCACTTTGTAAACCTCTATGCATAAGCACGATATAACTCCACTTTTACAAGCACGACATAATCCCAACTTTTATAATCATATTATGAATCCACTTTGTATAAGCACAAAATAAATCCACGTTGTATCACCAATCATTTCTAAAACCACTTTGCAAAACAACTGTGTAAAACCACTTTGCATAAGCACAATATAATTCCATTCTTACAAAGCACAATATAAATTCTCATTGTGACGCCAATTATTTCTAAAACCTCTTTGTAAAACAACATTGACTAAGCATGAAATAAATCCACTATGTATAAGGATGATATAAATCCCCCTTGTAACAAAAATCATTTCTAAAACCAACTTGAATAAAACTGTGTGAAAAGTATTTGCCTAAATCTAATATAAATTCACTTTGTATAAGCACGATATAAACTCACCTTATAACACCAATTATTTCTAAAATTAATTTCAAAAACAACTGTGTAAATGGTCTTTGGATAAGTACCGTATGAATCCAATTTTAATAAGCATGAAATAATTGCACTTTGTAAAACCAATTATTTCTAAAACCACGTTAGAAAACAATTATGCAAAACCACTTTGCATAAGCATGATATAAATGCACTTTGTATATGCACTGTAAGAGTACATTGTGACCCTAGAAGGTCAGCAAGCACAGCATTGCAATTGATTGGATAATAATTGTATGATAACAGCCAAAGGAATACCTTTTGTGTACCTGATTGGATATCATTTGTATAAGAACAGGTGAGTATTCAGCATGTGAATGAGAACACTTGGTGAAATATACAAAAACAAAGAAATTCCAATCAAGAGTAAGGGAACAGTTGATGCATTTTGTTGATAAGTTCAATACTTCCTCCCTTATCCCATATGGACTCTCAGTGTATAAAGTCTAATGCCACTAATAAACTTTGGCTTTGAACATCAGTCAGAGTCCACGCGTGTTATTATCAGCTCCATGTACCAAGTCCATCACTGCTGTTCTGTATATTCCACCAAGTATTCTCATTCACATGCTCTCCACTCAACCGTTAGCTAGATAAGCTTTTGTTCCACCTTTTCGGTAATGAGGCACAGTGGATATTAATTCTGCAGAGGGATAAGACTCACATAAATAAACAACCTGTACAAATTTACACAGCCAAGTTAACAAAGGCAGATAGCAGAAGCCAATCAAGTTTTCTCCAGTTACTATTTTTATGTATGATATTTTCAAATCTGCTCAGCAATGTCCCTAGACTTATGACCATCACTTTTATATATTCTTAATCTAGTGATTAACATGAATTTTGTTAAATATTTTTATCTGGGCTCAGATCCAAACAGTCTTACATGTAAACTAGGCTTTCAAATACCTCTTTCTCATTAATTCATCCTGTTTCCTAGATTTGAAAGGCTGTACCAACCTAAAGAGATGCAATAGACCCTTGATCTCAGAAACCCAATGAGTTCTCCTTCCTGAAGCCCTTTGCACTTACTAATAAAAGGAGTGAGCTATACTGTGACATCTTCTGAGGGCTCAGCCAGCACAGCTTACAAAGGGAGCATAAAAGGATTCTCTCAGACTGGCATTCTATTGATAAAAAAAATCATCAGGATAAGCCATGTACTTTGTACCATAACTGAGTGACCAAATATGCTTCTGGACCAGAATCAGTAGCTTAAATAAATAACAACTTATCATTCCTCCAACTTCTAATTCCTCCTTCACTTCTAATCTTAATTTTGGCCTTCATCCTTTCTTAGAATTCTATAGCATACTCTTTGCTTCAATGTGTGTTCTTATCTTCCTGTACACTCTTCTCTGCATGACTTTAAGAGGAAGACTTTAAAGAAGCATGTGTATATATATGCATGTATATATATATATATATACACAATTTATGTATATAGTGCAACTAAAATTTAATTAGGCATCAGAGCTTTATAAAGATTTACTAATGAATTTCTTCCTGTTTTCTTCAAAACACATGATATTCTGCTCTAGCTATATTGAACATGACAAGACTCTAGAACTTTGTGTTTGTTCACCATTAACTTTCCAAATTTGGACACACTTGCTTTCATTTCCCCTAAGAGTAAATCTTGTTCATGATTTAGCATTTAGATCTATTATAACATTCTTGATAAAAGTGGCTGACCTCCAAACTCTGGGTTGAGGGCCTTTGCATAGATTTCTTTAGCACTGCTATTTAATCAGTAATCTCAGAAGAACATATTGCCCTCTAAAATATTACAAAATTTTAAAATGTTGTGCCAGGGCATTTCACTGCTGTGCCAAGTTCAACAAGTGTCCGAGCATGACCACCCAGTATCCCCTCCCATTTCTCTATGATCCATCACATCTCCCTCAAATCCTGAGATTTAATTAGGCCCATATGACCTTGCCCTAGAATTGGA